CCCACCAATTGCTATGTGCCAAAATAGTTGTCTGTTTTACAGACTGGTAAAACTGTAGAGATTCCAGTTGGCCAAGAACTCTTAGGGATATTTGTAGGATTGGAACTCCACGTTCTGTTATCTAGCCCAAACTCAAATGTACACACAAATCAGTGGGTGATTTTGCTAAATTGCTAAAATGAAGATTCTGATTCAGTAGGCCAGAAGTGGAGCCTGAGATTCTAAACTTCTAACAAGCTCTCAGCTGATACCAGTGTTGTTGGTTCACAGATCGAATTTTGAGTAGCCTTCTACAGATCATACAGTTTCTTGTTTAGGTTTAGTGTAGCCTAATCTGGATGCTATAAAATCCTGTGTCTTCCCAGTCATCAGATAAATCAAGTAACCCAGTTGCAAGGATTACTAATGCCACTTATTAAACAGACAAAGCCTCTTCCTCCACATCCTCTCATTTCTATGAGGATGAATCAATTGAGACACAATAATCAAAAGGCCTAAAGGAGTGTGTGTGTGTGTGTGTGGTGAGGATGGTCTCTATTTCTTAATTTCTCTACAGTAGCATGAAGCAGCAACTTGCATAAATGTTCATGCTTTCCAGACTCAAAATCTCCCTTCAGTGAGCAGTTCCAAGGCCTACATTGGGAGGAGAAAGAGTTAGAAGGCACGCTTATCTCTATCAGTAATAAGAGATAAGTTGATTTCCCCTTTTCCTTATTCTTTAGTCTTACTTCTCAATTGATTCAGAACTTAGGGTGAGGGGAAGAGGGATATTCTTTATCAAATCCCTTCAAATCCCCAATACCCCCTAGACAGCCATCCATAAGAATAATGAAAATTTTGAAAAGTTCATCATTCTAGATCCTTCACACCCCCTGCCTGCCTTAATATATCCCTGGAATGCTTCCCAGTGGTCCCTTCCCATTCTTTGGGCAATGCTGTCCTATCAAAAATTCAGCCTGAAGCCCAGACCTTAATCTGGATTCTTCCACTGAGTCTCTGTGACTCCTTATCTATGCAATCCCACCAATATATTCAGAAAAAAGAACCAGATTTGATTTATCATACACCCTCTTCTTTCCCCCTTTGATGTGACTCTTTTTGGGCAAAATATAATTTTACTTTATCCGTTATTTCTTCCAAGAGGCATGATCTTCAAACTCTTACTGTCCCCATTCTAGCCTTCTTGTGGCTGGCTATCTTCTCATTCAGAAAGAAAACAGAACTTAAAACCTCAACAAACCATTAACAAATATTTTCAATTCCTCTGACTCTTCTTCCTTACCTTCTCTTGGATTCCTTCATCATCACCAGCAAAGTACAAAATAGGGACGTTAAGCTCAGAGGCAGCTACCCATTGAAGTACGGCTTGGAGTTGCTTGTTCTGAATTGTATCAATTATGTTATGATTGCTGACAACCACTTTGGGTGCTGCACACCCTTCAGGGAGCTGTGCTGATACACCTCTCAATTCATTATGAATAGCTTGATAGGCATTCTGCAAGACAGCCTCTGCTGTCCCTGTGCCCTTGACTGGTAAGCACTCATAGAAACTATCTGGGAAGGTTGAACTTGGCCTGCTGGCATCCCCAGACTTATCGTCTCCCAGCTCTGCCAAGGGAGAGTCACAGGACTTGGCAATAATGAGACACAACTTCATCACTGAGTCCATCAGATGTTCTATCATCTTCCCATTCATGTGGCTATCTAGCTGGTTGGTAACTATCTTGGTCAGCCCAGCAAAGGTACCACCAGCATCATCACATTCACTTAGTTTGATGGGAGAAGGGGTTACAGATCTTCCACACAGGTCTTCCTTAACTGGTTTTTCTGGCACCTTGGGTTCAGAGCTACAGTCATTCTTGAAAATGGTTTCACTAAGTAAATTCCGGATAAAGTTGAAGAAAACACTCATCAGATCCTTCTTCTCTGTTTCTTCTTGGTTACCTTCCATATGTGGAGACTTACAGTTGATCTCATCAGGAACTACAGGGATCTTGGAGGGAAAGTTGGTTCTACTAGCAGCTTCAAGGAAACTCTGTGTATCCATGCTTCCTCCCTGGGCCAGGTGGTATTGAATCAGAAGTAAGGCAGATACAAGCAGGTCCTTGGCCCAGGAGTCTGAATCACACACAAAATTCTCAGGGTTATCTAGGTTTTGCATAGGGGGGATGAGGTTGCAAGTATCCAGAGGATATCCCAGGGGAAAGTCTGGTGCAGGATTATACTGGTTGTTGGGAGCTCCAAATGTTGCACATGGAAAATCTGGAGATTTTCCTTCTCTTCTCTGAGTGTTATGCCACAAAGTCAGGCCCTCTTTGATAATATGTTCACCCAAAGTTTCAGCACACGTCTTCTCTGGTTGGCATGGAGGACAGTACATTTTTTCCCTCAGTTTACCTTCAGTTTTCATTGTTGCAAAATTCACCTTTGGGTTTTTCCCCATTCCTTTCATGGAGATGAGGGAATAACTCTCAGAGTTGTCCTGGGTTTTCCTGATATTCTCAGGAGGTTTCTTGGCAAACATCACATTGTATAGCTTCCACAGCATAGCATCCATGATATCTGTGGCCTTCTGGCTTCCATGAAAGAAGAGACTTCTCTTCACAGCTGAGACAAAGTCTGTATCAGTCATGAGGGTCCCTGTGGCATTGTGGAGGTTCTTCATGAGGGAGTCAATTAGATCTGACACCACCTCTTTCGCATGCCCAATCAGTACCTTCTTCAGCAGGATGGTGGCAATGGTTGTGTCCTTCACTTGGATTTTCAGGGTCTTCATGATGGAGACCATCATATCAGACACTACACTGTTAGCATAGGTCATGATCTTTTGACTAACGGAAGTTGTAAAATCATTATGCCTTTCTTGCCCTCTGAAGATCTTTCTTTCCCCAGGCAAGGACCTTCCACCCTCTTTGGAATCACCTGCATTACGAGATTCAAACACTTCTTTATAGAAGAAAGACTTCTTAGAAGCAGGCTTGCTATCTGGACCCTTGCTTTCCTTAAACTTCAAAGTGGTCTTGTATTTCAAATTTGCGGGACTCTGTAATAATCCTGCTCTGTCACCAGAGCCAGGAACCTTATCCGAGGCAATATCCTTGGAACATTCGGAGACAGTCTCATTCACCAGCTCTGATGCCACTTTACTCAGGCTTTTGCGTGGGGGTTCATCCCCCATGTATACTGACTGATGGACACATTTGTTTTCAGAGCCATCAATCTTTTCATTGATCTCCTTGCGGGCCATGGCTATGACTAAATTTGTGAGGCGGTTAGCATAGAAGGAAACTTCATCTACTGTACTCTCATTACCAACTTGGGCACTGGGGCCTGGGAGAGGGTTATCTCTGTGAGTCACCTCAAAATGAAGTCTTCCTGGATTGTCCTTATTAAATGTATTGTAGTAGTCTACAATGAAACCCTTTTGTGGGTCTCCTGAGTTGGTCACTTCCCCATCAAATGATGATTCTCCAGGCTTGAACCTAACGTCTTGGAACCCTGCTGTACTTTTTTCCAGGTCTTTGCGGAGCCAGCTGAGCACTCTGACAGGATCAGTCGAGGCTTCCTTAAAAACAGACAAGTATTCATCGGACTATAACAAAGTAAACAAATGGGATATTCAGGACAACTCAAAGATCAGTTACAAAAATAGCCACCTCGCTCAAGTCTCAACTACTCCATCATCACAATAAAAGTAATCAACACTTATTGAATGCTTACTATGCATCAGACACTGTTTCAACTTTTTGACTATTATTTCATTTAATATTATTCTCACAGTAAACTTAAATGTTAGCTCTCTTATTATCCACAATTTACAGAGGAGGAAATTGAAGAACTGAGAGATTTAGCTACTCATCTGAAGTTATACAGCTAACCACTGATGGAGCCGAAATTCCAACTCAGGCAGTCTGACTCCAGAGCCCATGCTTTCAGCCATTACACTATATTGCATCTAACAACATTTATCCTAAAGATCTGACAGTCCTTGTGTACACAGCCAAGTTAGCAATTGAACTAAATAAGGTTTTTCCTGTATTAATATTAATTGTTATTTTCTATGGTTTATTTGTTTTTATTTAGATCTCTTATTACAAAAAACTATAAAACTATAGTTTTCAAAAAACTATAAAATTCAAGGATAATTGTGCATAATTAACCAGTTTGCCAGGATACCCAAGCACAATCTGGATATACTAAATGGCTTCCAATGGACTATTTAATATCACTTAAGTTAACAATCTGATTTATAATTGAGGAGTTAATATCTGTGGACAATTTATTAGTTTTAAGGAAATACAGATCCTTTGGTGGACACTAGCTGTGATAAGCACATGGATATACTTATATGTTTACATTTTGTAATCTATAACCTTCACAAGCTAAAATCAGAATGTATGTAAAATTGTCTGTCCTATTCGCTATCAAATGTAAAGGATCACTGTAATAATTGGAGTTATGTCCTCTGGAATGACAAGTATTGCCCATCTTTAAAGATTAATTTAGTATTTTAATTACCAGGTGTCATAGAGTTACTAGCTATTATTTGTTAAACTTATATTTGCCAGGCACTGTGCTAAGTACTTTACACACATTATTTAATTTAATACTCATACACACCCTATAAGGCAGGTATTTGTTTCACAGATAGGAAAATCGAGGCATAAAGAAGTTAAATAAATTCACTAGCGTTTCACAGCTACTACGGGATGAAGGTTAGTATCCAAATCCAGTTCCTACTCTAAAATTGGTGCTCACTACCCACTGCTATGTTTTGATGAGTTGGAGAGAAGAGAAAAGCAGTTGTACCAGCCCTCTACAGGGCTGGTTTAAGCTGCTCGCTGGCCACAGTGCTTGGTTCAAAGTATTCCTAACTGATTCTCCTAATATGGACAATGGCTACTGGAGGGACATTTTGTGCTTCAGTGGAAAACTATGCATAATTTATAGCATACCCTCCCACATTTTCTGATTCTAATTCTCTTGGCGTTATTTTATGATTCTGTAAAGTGTAGACAACTGATAGTAATGCAATGTAATTGTTGTCTACACTCAGGTTAATTCTAGCCAGGGAAGGATACACTGTAGAAAAGGTGCTTCCATTCGCCCATTCACTTCAATATTCCTGATCTAGAAATGAGTCTTTTTCTTTTCTTAGATTCTCCTTTAACCACACCAGTTCTTTGTTAATAAGTTAAATAAAATCTTTAACACGAGTTTATTTTTATATATGTATGAGAGTCATTATTTCACCCTTCTCAGAAAATTATCTTTTTAACAGTTTTGGAAGTCTTGCCCAAGATGTCCAACAGACTCACTTAACAGGCGTAAATGTCATCATGAGAGTGATGTACCAGGTGTGTTTTTGCCCCCAGAGATGAATCCAAAGTGGAAATGGAACTATGTAGCTGGTTTTTTTGTTTTTTTTTTCTAGTTTCAATTTTCCTCTCTACTAATTTTGTTTTTGGTTTTCACTTTGGTTCTTTTACCGCCAATAATCATTAGTGGCAGCAGTGATTAATAATGTGGTTTTATTGCTTCACCATTTGGTGATTCTTTAATGAATTATGGTTTATAGAGCTCTATTCTTTGTTGAGTGAGACACAATAGAAAATCTGTTTTGCTAGTATTTATTGCCTGTCATAAGTTCATATCAATTAAGAATTTCATGCCCATTTGGAAGGAGAAGAGTCCTTTGATCTCTGGACAGGTGAGTTTTGTGTTTCTGTTTTTACTTTTGATGTATGGCTTAAAGTTTATTATTATTTTTAATTGAAATATAATTGACATATAATGTTATATTAATTTTAGTTGTACAACATAATAATTCAATATTTGTATATATGGCAAAATGATCACCAATAAGTCTAGTTAACATCTATCACCACACACAGTTCAAATTATTTTTTATTGTGATGAGATCTACTCTTTTGGCGAGTTTCAAATATACAATATAATATTATTAACTATAGTCACCATGCTACAGTCCTATTCCAAGACTGACTTATTTTATAACTGGAAATTTGTACCTTTTAACTTTCTTCACCCATTTTTCTTATCCCCCACCTCTGGCAACTATGAATTGTTTCCTGTATCTATGAGTTCTTTTTTTTCTTTCATTTTTTTTTAGATTCTACATATAAGTAAGATCATATGGTATTTATCTTTCTCTTTCTGAGGTACTTCACTTAGCATAATGCTCCCAAAATTCATCCATGTTGTTGCAAATGGCAAAATTTCCTTCGTTTTTTATGGCTGAATAATATTCCATTATATCACATTTTTCTTTATCCATTCATTCACTGATGGATATTTAAGTTGCTTCCATGTTTTGGTGACTGTAAATAATACTGCAAAAAACATAGGGATGCAGATATCTCTTTCAAGTGCGGTTTTGTTTCCTTCAGCTATATACCCAAAAATGGAATTGCTGTTCATATGGTAATTGTTACTTTAAATAATTTTTTCATATGGTTGTGATTAGAATTAAGTGAGTTTAAATAAGATAATATGCACAAAATAACTTGTATGCTTAATGTAGTGCATATAAGATAGATAATACTAAAATATTTCAAATAAAGATTAAACAAAAGAGCTAAGAGAAAAGAGAAGTCAATAACCTTGATCTTTAGGCTAATGTGGCGAGACATAGCTAACCAGCTACGGACGCACTACGGAATAAAACCTGCCTTCCTGCATGTATGGGGAAGTAGTACACAGGGTGAAAAGAGTTCTGGAAGCCAGGATGGCTAGGGATACGTATTGTGATTCATTCCTATCAGACCGGGTGGGAGGTGTGGAGAAGCTACTGAGTTTCTGTAATGAATCTTCTAAAAATTATTATTTGGGACCAAAGGTCAGTAACAAGTGGGAACTACCTAATGGACAAATTTTAGCTTTAAAAGGAAGTTTTAGGGGGGAAAAAAGCTGCCCTTGTGCATGTCTGAAAAAGAGACAGAAAAGGTAGTAGAGTCAGAGCAAAGACAGCATTCAGGAAATGGAAAGTCAGGTTCCAAAGTGGATGCTGTCCACCAGGAGGACCAGCCTGATGGCCTCNCGACAGAGAAAAGGTAGTAGAGTCAGCGCAAAGACAGCATTCAGGAAATGGAAAGTCAGGTTCCAAAGTGGATGCTGTCCACCAGGAGGACCAGCCTGATGGCCTCCACTGCAGGGGTGATTTAGGGGAGACAAACAACGTGCAACACAAACTACCTATATAACGCAATATGTGCATAGTGTCTGTGTACAACACACTGCTAGACACTGTGAAACATATAAAGGTGAAAGAAATAGGATTTGCCTTCTGGAAGCATGCATTTTATTGTGGAAACAAAACATAAACATAAATATTATTAAACAGTATGTCATTAGTGCTATAAAATAATTAGAATAGATATATTTAATGGGAGAAGAGGGACAGATAATTTTGGCTGGGTAACTAGAGAAAGAAGTGACGTTCGAGATGAACTTTAAAGCATTTTGATAGATATAATAGGCTGGACATTCTTGGCAACAAAAGGACACAGGCAAAATCTATGATTTGGGGTAATGCTAGTTTTAAATCAGATGGCCCCTGAACTATCAGTGGTGTAACAAAATAGAGNTCAGATATAATAGGCTGGACATTCTTGGCAACAAAATGACACAGGCAAAATCTATGATTTGGGGTAATGCTAGTTTTAAATCAGATGGCCCCTGAACTATCAGTGGTGTAACAAAATAGAGGCTTGATCACTTTGTATAAAGAGGGCATTCAATGAGCAGCCGTCTTTGCAGTGACTCGGGGACCCAGGCTCTGCTTTTGCATGGTTTCACCCTCTCTTGGGTCTCAGGATCTTTTCTTCAAGCTAGTGTATGGGGAAGGGCAGAGATGGTGAAGGACTGGATAAGAGGCTTTTGTGGTCCAGGACTGGAAGTGACAAACATCACATATACCCATATTCCATTTGTCGTTGCCTTTTGAAAGTTTGATTACAGTGTGTTTCAGCGTGGGTCCCCTTGAGTTCATCATGAAGTTCATAGATTCGTGTTCCATCAGATTTGGGAAGTTTCCAGCTGTTATTTCTTCAAATATTCTCTCTGCCCCTTTCTCTTTCTTTTCTCCAACTGAGACTCCCACAGTGTATATGTTTGTTTGCTTGATGGTATCCCACAGGTCCCTTTGGCTCTGTTCACTTTTCTTCAATCTTTTTCCTTTCTGTTCCTTAGACTTAATAATTTCCACTTCCCTATCTTAAAAGTTTGCTGGTTCTTTCTTCCGTTCAAATCTGCCTTTAAATCCCGCTGGTGAATTTTTCATTTCCATTATTATACTTTTCAGCTCTGGAATTTCTTTTAGGTTATCTGCAGGTTTTGTCTCTTTCAATAAAGACACTTCCTGTTTGTTCAGACACTGTTTTCTTGACTTTCTCCAAATCTTCTCGTTAGTTCTTTGAGCATCTTTAAAACAGTTGGTTATAGTGTTGTCTAGTATGTCTGCTACTGGGGCTATTTCAGAGACAAAGTCTGTTGATTTTTTTTCCCTCTTTGAATGCCTTGTGACATTTTATTGAAAACTGGGTGTTTGATCTAACGGCTGGCTGATGCTATAAGCTGTCTATCAGGTCTGTGTCACTATGTGTCTGTAATTCAGAAAAGCATTAAGTGTAAGTAGTTATGTTTTCCTACCTCCACATTGTATTAATAAGTAAGATTATAAAGTCTATTAAAATATCTCTATTTTGATTGGCTAAAGTATTCTTATAGACCCTAACTCAGAAATATTTTAGGAACCTAAGTTCATGTAAGTTAGGTAAATCTTTAAGTTAGATACGTTGGGTAAGTCCAAGTTAGGCAAACAAGATTAGTTTAATAATTTTAGTTTAATAAAAACAGCTATGTCTTTTCTGATTTATCAATGTTAAGAATAATACAAGTGTGCATTTTTATTTTACTTTGATATGCTCTTCACAAATTTATATGTTACACAGATCCAATAAGCTAGTATTACTTCTACTTAATGATGAAGATCATGAAAAATATAAATTTGTGTTTAATCAAATTGAATAAATATTCTGACAAACTTTATTTCAAGTTATGTTTTACAGTACATCAGCTTGATCATAAGTTTCCAACATCTTTTGTAACTTAAAACAGTGGACTGGTATTAAATTGAGTTAATTAATGGATATTCATGGGTTCCTTGGATTATTTCTCTAAGTAAAATAGAATACTGAGACACTAATAACTAAGCATATTTATATGCTTTTGCTTCTTATATTTTTATACTATAGAAAGCATATGACTTTGGATGTGTTCATTTTTGCCTCTTAGGTTGTATAAGGAATGCGTGTGACTATAGAAATTGTCCTATGTGTGTTCATGAGCTCTGTAGTCTGTACTTTAGCTGTTGTGTAATAGATCACAATTATATACCTCTCCCTCCCTAGTTTTCTTTATGAAATAGAAAGAATAAAACATACTTTGAAAAAAGTTATGATTAATAGAAGTAGTTAACACTACAGTTAGGAACACAGTGTCAGAGAAATCCAACGGCGTACGTGCTGGTTTTTCTAGGAATTTCTAGTCTCAGGATAGTAAATAATAAAAGGGCTTTAAAAGTCCAATAAAGATTCCTTGTGAAAACTTCCAGCAAAGCAAAATTAATAAGGCCTATCTGGTTGCTGCACCTATGTAAATAATCAGACCAATTCTGATGAGACTGTATTTTGTTATCAAAAGTTATCTGACTTTGAGAATTTTTATTAAAATGAAGGCAACTATAGGGGGGGAAAAACTTGTGCTTCAAAAGAAAACTATGCATTGTCTTTAGTGCTTAGTCTATAGACTAAGAATTGTCGATAGCTTTTCACATAATCTGTTTCTGATTCTAAAGAAGCTATTTTACATCTCTATAAGCTTTAGATAATGATAGCAATGCACAAAATACTTCTGTCTGTCTACAGACATGTAAATTCTGTCCAGTGGAGTTTCTGGAGACTTCCCTTCCTCAGTGCGGAAGAGACCAGTTTTGCTTCTATTTGCGCATTCATTTCAATATTTCTGACTTATAAATATATCTTTTTTTATTCTCCTTTGCACTGGTTGTAACGCCTCATCAGTTTCCTCAGTAATGAGCTAAATGAACTCTTTAACATGCATCCGCTTTCGTATCTGACTGGGAATCTTGATTTCACCCGTTTGAAAATTATCCCGTGTAGCTCCTGGTTGACAGAAAGGCTCACAGTCTGTCCACAGCGGGTTGCGTAACTGGGCCGGCGCTACAGGAGAGTCTTCCTGAGGCAGATGTGGGACTTATCCTTTCGTCCTTTCAGTTCTTTCACAGAACATTAAAAACCAACCAAACAACAAACTTACAGCTTAGCATAGGACTTTATGATGGAGTACAGAGTTGTGTTAGCTTGCTGTGTTTATAGGTGCTTGTTTGTTTTAGAGAGAGATTGGTTGCCTTCCATATGCACCTCCACCAGGACATGAATGAGACAACAGAGGTGTGTGCCCGGACTGGGAATCGAAAAAGGCAACCTTTCGGTGCATGGGAGGACGCTCCAACCAACTGAGCCACAGGGCAGCGCTTGCTATGTTTATAGGTTTTTATTGTCTATGTTTGTTAAACCCAAAACGTGTGCACCCTGCATCCATTATTCCACTTGATCCAGAAGAATTTTGCAAAAGTCCTTTATGAAGCCATAGTGACTGATTGAAAGACTAACCACATTTCTTTTTCTATCAATGCAGTGTACAATTAAATATCCGTCTCTTTCAAACTCCTTAGGCTTCCTGCAACTTGAAGCTCTTTCATTCTTGTGCAGTAATAAACTGAACGCTTAGGGAAGGTGGATATCAGATTATATCTGAGTCTTTCTTAATTAAGGCCAGGGAAAATTTTCATGTCTTCACAAAAACTATGAAAAGGGTTAAGGGGTTTAATTTTCTCTCTCAGCCATCTTTTGGTTTAAGAGCTTAGGTATATTTTTCTTCAATTCTCACCTGAGGATATGTTTTTATTAATTTTAGAGAGAAAGGAAGGGAGAGAGAGAGACACAAACATCAATTGGTTGCCTCTTGTATGTTCCTGGACGGGGGATGGAACCTGAAATCTAGGTATGCGGCCTGACCAGGGATCCTACCCACCACCTTTTAGTGTACAGGAGGACTCTCCAACCAACTAAGCCATTCAGCCAAAGTGGGAGCTTAGTTTTAAGTCAATATACTATATACCTTCCATCCTATTATTCCTCACCTCTAGCTCAGTTAAAGGTATTTTATGAAATTTTCCCTGACTACCTCCCACTTTGAAATGATCTGTTCTTTAAACAGCTATAGCAATTACTATCCAGAAAATCCACTTGGTGAATTATCCTAGATCTCTTATAATTAGTGTCTGTCAGTTATTTGAAGCTTTTAAATTATATTTCTATTTTCACATTTACTTTTTATTTTCCCAAATTAATGATAAGATCTATGAAAGCAGAAATTGTTTTGTTCTTTTTGGCATTCCCCATAGTGCTTCTCACTTAGTGAAAAATGAAGACATTTCTGTTAATTTGATTAATACTGAAACCCATCTGTCTTTTATTTTTCTAAATGAAAGGGCAGAGGTAAATAAAAGATCTAGTTGAAGTAGATTTGGTTGGCTCTCTATAGTCACTCGATATTTATTAACTATGTGTCTTAATGGCTTTGATAGATACGTAAATGTTTTATCTCTTAGGCAGGCTGAGTGATCCCATGGCAACCACACTTTCTCCAAAGAGATCTTAGGCAGCTTTGTTTAAGAAAGAGGGAGTTTTTGTGAATTCTTAGTTTCTTCCTTGTTCACTCTTTCAACCTAGGTGGAGCTGCTTTTTGCATTTGCTACTTCTAGAACTCTTAGAGTCCTCTTTTACAGCTTTTAGTAGTTAAGTTGGTTAACTATCTTTAATAGACACTTTTTTTAAACATTAAATTACTGGTGTGGTTTCCATCTCCTAACTGGACCCTGACTTACAGTGCCTGATGTTAAGTATTTAATAAATGTTAGTTCAACAATGAAGGCAGAATGACAATTTAATTAGATGAAAGTTTATAGTTCTGGCAATTTTGAGGCAGCCTACACTTCAGAAAATACTTTCAATGAACAAAATTTTACAGTTGTAATATATAGTTTTTTTCATTAATTATAACATATTTCTCCTACTAAATACCATATTATAGAAATGTTTTCCAAAAGTTATAGATGGGAATTTTTTGTTCTTAAATGTTCATCCCTCCCACCCCAAGAAATCGATCTTCAAAAATAAGAGGGGGGTGGTGGTGAAGAGAACAAGGCTGCTCTCCGTCACTCCCCATATTCCCAACCCAGTATTTATAAGGAGGTTGACAACGTACCATTTTCCAGTCCTGGGGTAGGCCGTCCCCAGGTGGGTAGGCATCAACTTTGCATACCCCATTTTGGCTTTGTAACCAGTCAACCCTATCCGACATCTGGAAGTAGGGAAAAAAATGGGTATCAGAAGGACAAGTCATATGAAAGTAGGGAGAAATAACGTAAATAGCTGAGATGTGGAAAATAGGAGCAATGCTTTCAATAGTGACCTGTCCCAAAAGCTACTTCAAACTCACCTAACTCTGGATATCTTCATCCTCAGCTCTCAACTGCAGGAAGATTTCTTAAACACATAGATCTCTTGTGCTAAAGTCAGTCCCTGGTCTATACTAGAGATGCTTAATACAAATTTGTTCATGAAAGAACCTAAACAGCCATGTCCAGCTCTTTGTGTCCTCGCTTGACAAGCCCTTCCACATCTTGGATTTTCAGTAGACACTCAAAATTCGACATGATCAAAATAGAATTAATTTACTTCTCCCTGTCTGTTCTTGCCCCGCTAACTTTTGAAAAAAGTAATACACAGTTCATTTTTTACTAATTTCTAGACCACTAACTTACTTTTATTAGCAGTAAGTCTAGTAGCTCCTCCTTAAATCCTCCAAGTAGCCAAGGATCCTGGAGGAATTCTATCTCCCTGGTTCAGTCAAACTTCTGAATGCCAGAAGAGAGATGTCATAGGCACCACCCAATGGCCTTTGTCCACGGAGGCAGTAATACCCTTGCAGATATTCTTTCATAGCCCTCTCAACATTTTTCTCTATTCCCTAATCTCTGTAATGACACCACCATCAACCTGCTCTTCTAAGCCAGAAAGCTGATATTCATCTTCGGTGTCCTCTTCTACCCCAAGCCTCCCTCTAGCTGCTACTATTTCTCTCTCATTTATAGCCATTTTTCTTGAAAGAATTGCTTATCCTTGCGACTTTTATTGCCTCACCTCACAACTGAGCTTCATAGCCCTTATTCCAAATACTCCTATAGTCCTTGGGAACGTGGCTAATTATCATGATATTTTTCCCCACTGATAATCTACAAGTATGAGAAGCCTTTCTTTCTCCCCTTTTCCATGCCAAACTTCCATCACCAGGCTTCCACAATGAAATCACTTCTTTCATTGCAAACATTGCTTAGATCTGTATTTCTCAATAAGCAAGGTAGAGTGAGATCGCCAATTTTTTCTCCCCAATTCTCCAAACATCTTTATGAAACATACATATATATTGATATTTTGATTCTAACAAACATACTTGTTTAAAATCCTGTTATAATAAAGGCCAGAAGCTTATTTTAGTTTTCATAGGGAAGTTGTATTTGTTCTTTGCTCCCACAGGATTTGTACCCGTTTTAACACCCCAATCGCTGACTCAGATCACTGAGCTAGGGAAACAGTTTCTTTTACTCTTCCTTACACTGTAATAAGATTCCTTGGGTAAGCAATAGGTTCTCCACCCTGATTTGAATCACCCACAAAACTGTTTTAAAAATACGGAATCTGAGATACCGCCCCCCCCCCCCC